TTCAGATCAAAGATCGTTTCTATAATTCTATATCTTTTAGTTTTTACCATTTCACTCTATTCTTTATCCTTTGATCTCTATTATATTTGTCCTAAACATGCGTGACATATTCGCCACTGGACAAAAGGCAACCAAAAGTCAATCAACGTATTCTGTATATTTCATCATTTCTTTATTATGTTATCTATAGGTTTGGTCCCGCCCCTTATCTATTTTTTTGCACATTAGGGACGACATCAAAAGTTCAATGTAGGATAAAAAAAACTTAATTCATATAGTTTTTTTCACTGACACCCTACCCCCACCCCCACCCCCACCCCCCTCTTAACTTAATTTGGGAAAAATTGATTGACCAATAAGGATATATATAAAATCGATGTTAATTAAACAAAACTTGCAGCAATTTTGACCCCCTTCCCCCCCCCCCTAACTATTTGAATTAAGTTTTTTTTATCCTTCATTGATTTTCTGATGTCGTCCCTTATCCTCTCTATGTAAACCCAATTCATGTCCTGGTAAATGGTGACTCATGCATAGCATCATATGTGGTTATTAAAACAAGAAACATATTCATATTATAATAATTAATGTATGCTAGGACTTATAGATAGATGTCATTAGTCCCAGGTCATGTTATAAAGTAGGTCTTATAAAAATACAATAGTATTTTAATTTTGATGATTATATATATGTTTATATATTTAATAATGCCATTTTTTTTTTTGGAAAAAAGGGTAGGGGCAAGGTGTTTTTAAAACATATCAATGGGGCGCGTTTTTTTTTTTGTTCTTCGGAAGTGAGCCAGAAGAAGTCCATTTCTGTTTTATTTTGCATTGGGAAGATCTTCTGGCTCTCTTCCACCTCTTCTTTTTTAATAGGTTGACGGCAGAGGCACATAACAAACATGGCGTCGTTTAGTCTAAATGAAATTAATAAATTTATAAATGGAGATATATTAGAATGTGAGCTGTTTTATAAACGTTTTTATGGTATGACAGCCTTAGTAGGACATCCCTGTAGGACGATAAGCTGGATAAATATAAGAACTACACGGACAATAACAGTTAATGGACGATTATTTAATATTCTAGGGAAGGGATTTTGATTGATTGGTGTTTAACGCTACTTTCAACACTATTGGGCTATTCCGTGGTGGTCAGTTTAAATTTATAGATGAAGGATGGGGAAGGGAAGAGAGGGCATTATTATTCATTTCAATCTGTCGCTAATCATGCCTATTTTTCAGCTCTTACCAGGCAACCTTATTCATATATGAAATCCTTCTGTCCCCCACCCCAACAAATAAATAAATATCAAATGGTTTTCCTTTTATTTAACACAAGTTTAAATTGATTAATTGTTTGTTGCTAATTTTAACGCCCAGAGAAATTTCATGCTTGTTCAGGAAAACACGAGTTTAGAAGTCACGTATATAATATAAAAATGAAGAGATGGAATATGATTGCTAATAAGGCAACTATCCACTGGAGTTCGAATATGAAGTGGATGTAAGCAATTATAGATAAGATAAGATAAGATAAGAACAAATTATTTTAAGTCGGGTTACATGAAATACTACAAACATAAGCTCTGTAGAGCTTTTTGCCGTCATGTAGACAAATGCTTTTTGTAGACAATCGTAAGGCCTTCAACAATGACAAAAACCTGATACTGTAAAGTCGTCTATAAAAGGCCCGACATGAAAAGTATGAAGAATTCAAACGAAAAAACTAAGAGCCTAATTATACATAACAAAACAATTTACAAAATATCAAATATGAGTCGAGACAGGAACCAACGACAACCACTAAACTACAGGCTCCATCCCTAGGACAGGCAAATAAAGAATATGGCAGGGTGGATATAAAAACGAAGATGTGGTATGATTGCAAATGAGACAACTCTCCACAAGAGATCAAATGACACAGAAATCAACAGCTATAAGTCACCGTACGGCCTTCGACAATAAGCAAAGCCTACACCGCATAGTCAGCTATAAAAGGCCCCGAAATCAAAAATGTAAAACAATTCAATCGAGAAAACTAACGGCCGAATTAATGTACAAAAAAATGAACGAAACTCAAATATGTATAACAAAGCAACAAACGGCAACCACTGAATTACAGGCTCCTGACTTGGGACAAGCATATACATACATAAATCTTGTTCTCCCAGACTGAGTTATCAATCAGTACACAACGCGCGGCAAAGGATTTATTAAAAAAAGAAAACAGTCTGAGAAACGTCTGGTTTACGTTGTATATAGATATAAGAAGATGTGGTATGAGTGCCGATGAGACAACTCTCCATCCAAGTCATAATTTGTAAATGTAAACCATTAAAGGTCAACGTACGGTCTTCAACACAGAGCCTTGGCTCAAACCGAACAGCAAGCTATAAAGGGCCCCGTAAATTTGTAGTGTAAAACCATTAAAACGGGAAAACCAACGGTGTCTAATCTATTTTAAAAAAAAACGATATACTTGCATATAAATCCATATACAATGAAACGGTTTTTGAAAAGTGGACCGAACGTTTTGACCATCGAAATTTTGCAATAGAAATACTAGCTATGACCACAAGATTTTAACAGCCAGTGCAGGACTCGCACGAACGTTAGATTTAGTTAGAAGGGGCGATATTCTGACACATTTTTTAATTCTTGTCACCCATGTTTAGAAAGAAAGGGGAGAAATCCAAACAATTTCCGACCAATCACAGACGTTGTTGCAAATTTGACCTAATGACGTCAAAGAATTTCCCATAATGCAATTATTGCATATAAATAAAAAAACTACTATACCAGTTGAATCAAAAATATTGCATTCAAATGACATTTTATACCAATTGAATAAAAACTATTGCATTTGAATGAAAATTATACCATTTGAATGAAAAATTATACCATTTGAATGAAAAATTATACCATTTGAATAAAAAATATTGCATTTAAATGAAAAAATATACCATTCAAATAAAAAAAATATTGCATTTAAATGAAGAAATATTCAATTGAATAAGAAATATTGCATTTAAATGAAAAATATCAAATTTTTGCAACCAATACCATGCCATAACCAAGTCAGAAAAATGACAGATGTTTTCCATTCGTTTGATGTGTTGGAGCTTTTGATTTTACCATTTGATAAAAGACTTTCCGTTTTGAATTTTCCTTTGAGTTCGGTATTTTTGTTATTCTACGTTTTCCCTTTGCAATTTACCCTTATTTTCCAGTGGCAGTTCAAATTTCCCAGACCTTCATCCCGTACGGCCTCTATTAATCGAGCGTCACAGATGAGGTCTAGTAGACGAAATTCGTACAAAATTTTAATCCCGGTATCTTTTAGGAGTATTTTACAGGACCTGCCTATTGTATTTATTGTTTATTTATTCTCATCCTGAACGTGCATGCAATATTTGCCTCAGAACGTTAAGCAACCAACAATTCATCAATCAATGAAGTTCTGTTATTGATAAATACATTCAGCATGTTGAATTAACAACAGTAAGGGTGAGGGTGGCTGTTAAACTAGTGTAGTTTTAAAAGCGGTCTAGGATGACGGAATATAAATTCAATTTTATTTTAGTCCATTGAATGGGCACCATTCCTCTCCATCAAGCATCTATTTAGCATAGCAATAATCAGGACATATTATGATATTAATTAAATTTCTTTCAAAAAGAGATGCAACTATGGTAGAATGAGCTTATGTTGATCAAGGTCAATCTTGTACATTTCTTTCAAGGATTATGATAAAAGACGTTTTGTTGTAGGTCGTTAATGAAAGTAAAATATAACGAATTTAAAGCATTCGACGTGAAGTTTATTTGGAAATGATTTGCCACACTGGTTGTTCCAAACTCAAAGATGCAAAACATATGTAGAAGTATACAAACAAAATGGCCTTTAAAATAGCTTTTGAATAGCCAAAATCTTCATAGATAATTTAAGTATAAGCGATCAACAACCCTCAGACTTTATTTTCATTTAAACAATAAAAAAACCAAGATCCAACTTGTCAGCGGTTTTCAACTTGTCTTACGCGTAAACAATTAAAGATAAGTTTGATAAAAGTAACTATGTTAATGAAACGAAAAACAAAATGTTAATCTGCTATCAACTTATTTATTGATTTCACAGAAAGGCGTCACAGTTGGTTTTGGGTCTTTAAAAATATCTACGGTTTGAAATTAGATTCATTCAAAATCAAATACCCACGCGCCAGTTCTATATTTATAAAAAAAAATAATTCAAAAGTGGAATATGGTTTATCAAATTTATTATTCCCACTCCTCAATGGAAGATGGAATTCTTTTTAACGATGCCCTAGAGACGATGACTCGTGGGGTAATCCGAAAAATCTGATCAAATCCCATAAGGTGCGGATATTATGTGTTAATATACAAGTATAAATTCTCCTTACATGAAGTTTGTGTGTGTATAACATTAAGAACGTCATTACATATAACATATTTCTAGGTGAGAGATGTGACAACCAAATAGAAATAGACATAAAATAACACATCGACTTTCTTACATCCCTCTTATTAAAATGACAAATTAGATAGTATGGCTTTATATTAATTTTATAAAAGAAAAATAATATAATTTTCCTTTATTGTCATGTTTTTATGTTTTTTGAAGACGCAAATACAGAATACCATAAACAAATAGTATCAATCATCCTAAAAACGATCAATTTAATTGTATAAAAAACAAGGCACAGCTAGTTTTGTTTTTTTTATTACCCTTTTCACGGAAAAAGATTATTCTTATTGCGAAATAGCATATTTTTTTTCTTATAGTATTGTACAAAGGAGGATGTTTAGTATCCGGAAGGTTTTACTTCATGCTGTAAGTATTATTGTGACCTCTCACCTTGAAAAATGTCAAAACAAAACAAGTGATGAATAATATGTTTGCTACGTTTTCATAGTTCTTAGAAATAGAAAAAAAAATAACGTTTTCTTAATTATCGTGGTATGTCATGTGATACATATATGCTTTTATTTACTTAGAGGAATCAATGTAGTCATATCAAGAGACCGATACGCAAGTGTAAGTATAAAACAATTATGTTAATATAATGATTATGATAAATATATTTCACTGACACACTGTTTCAAGATTTAAATTATTTTTTATTTTTTTTTTTTTTTTTTAAATTGTGAAGTAAACTAAGCGTAAGTTGATATACATCGACAACTTGAGTTGTTGCCTACTAGGTACACACATATAGTTATTCGATAGTTGTCTGAAATCAATGATAAAATATAATTGAAAATTTTTAGTTAATCAATTATGTAGTTTGTCCTTAAATTTAGATTTACCATAAGCAAAATCCTTAGACGATTGTGGCTGCTTTCTTTGTGTTGTTTTTAGCCTTTATAAACCCCAATCTTTCATTTTAAATTTTGGAACCTAGCTTAAGTGATCAATCTTATTCCTGAAACTGGTTTTCTGGAGGTGCTACCTACTTTTGTTTAATCGATAAACTGAAAGTAAAAAGAATCTAGTCTAACCTAGTGATACCCTTGTTGCATCTAAATTTATAAATCACAACAAGCTTGCATTAATAAAAAGGCATATGTTTCTTCCTCGAATACAAATAGCAAATTTTGTTTTATTATGTTTTAGGTGTTGAAAAATGAACCAATATATTACTTTGTGCACGTTAATAATCGCCGTAATATTTGGTGAGTTACTGTTTATTTATTGTTCAGTTATAAAGTTACTTCTAATGTTTTTTGTGAGAATTTTGAAATGGTTTTCATTATACGCCAGTCCTTGCGATTTATCGTCAGGCTGGTTTAGTTCGAAGTATGATTTAAGTAAAACAAATAAAAAGATTTTAAAATAAGCAGTGAAGGTTACATAATACACAACGAACATAAAAGGCCACGTAATTTGCACAATGTTATCAAGGCATTGCGTATTATGTATATCTTTCTTTTAATTGTTTTAAATATCGTTGTTTATATTCATCATTTAAGTTTATTGACATCGATTGCAGATTTAGTATACAAACACTTTCATTACATTTAATGAACCCTTTCTGGGACGAAAATAAACCATTAATGCAAACTTCCATACTTCATCATTTGTAATGGTTTTCCCGACATGCATTTGTAAGAACAATAGTGGTTTTGCTAAAATAGTGATTGGACGCAGATGAGTTGAACGTGATTTTCTAAATATGAATAACTAATTAAGGTCGATCCCTACAGTTCTTTTTCACCGTTGAAATGGCAATTTCTTTAGGTAACCAGCAAAAAAGAGTTACTTCCCTTAGTACCGGAATTCACCTAAAATAAATAATCAACTAGAAAATCCATGACCTTTCAAGTGCCATAGTATATTATCGTTGAATCAAAAATACAAGGCCTAATTTTCAACATTATTTAAAAAGTATCTTTCCGATTTATAACTTTTGTATAGTATGTTATTTTAAAAGTATGCTGTTGAGTCCAATTTTGTATTAAGCTTCCTTTTTTCTTGTTATGCTAGAATCAATTTGCAGATGATTGCAAATTTGTTATATGACCTTCTTTAAACTTTCAACAGATAAGACGATGTCATTCTTTCGAGGGTTGGTTGTAATAAAATAATCTTGTTTTAAAATATATCATATTTAAAGTTAAGCAAGAAATTCCTACCTTAGACGGCGTGAAGGTGTGATTATATTCATTGATAATGTTTTTCAGTAGTACTTTTTTGTTTTAATAGAAGTTGTACAGTCTATTCGGGAACTGCCATACATCTCTCTGGACTCAAAACAAAGCGACGAAGAGCAGTTTGAATACAAAATTGTCATACCACCTGTGCAAACAACAGAGGTAATATATAGATAATATTACATGACTTTTTTCAATTTCAAACCTGTATCAACCCGACTGAGACACCACTAAAATTCTGAGAGCTCTGCTCAAGAGATTATACTGATTGAAGGTTATAACAGTACTTTTGAAAAATCCATATCAGATTTACCTATTTTTTTATTTAGAACATATGTTTTACGTACTTATGATGATGTCATCCATATTTTGGAGTTTTAATGGTGACTGGTATCATTATCATCACTGATGACTAGCATAGAACGAATAAATAATAAATACAGGGGTGACTGGGAATAGAAATATGGTCAACATTGGTCTTCCTCCGATCGGCAGTAAATCCCTCGCCAAAGTGGCTGTTCGGGATGTACAAGATCGCAGCCACGTTCGGGCAGAATGGGGACGTTCAATCCGATGCCTCGTGTAAAGAGTGTGCCAAATTCTGTGCACGCTAAGAATCCTTGCAACAACTCTGTGAGGGTTCCGTAGGTGGTCTGTTGCAAGGATAAATGTCTGTCCCTATCCAATATACTCTTATTTTCCTGCGGCAGTCCAAATTTTCCCGACCTTCATCCCGGACGGCCTCTATTACAGGACCTACCTATTGTATGAACTGTTAATTTGTTTTCGTCCTAAACATGCATGAAATATTTGCCACTGGACGTTTAGCAAACAACAATCAATCAATCAGAGCAGTGGCAGTTTTGTTTTTGATACTGACTTTATCAGCCGTAATAAATGATGAAGTCAGAATAAAAAAACCTTTTTAGCAGCAATTTATTTCAACCATATTATTTTGGGGAATTTGAATATGAAATGACATGACGATCTTTGTATAACTTTTTTCACGGGTGATGTCGATAAGAAATATTCTTTCATTTAATTGAGATACCAACATTAAAAACTCTCGTTATAACTTATAACGGAAAAAGCATACTAATTAACCAATCAATGATTCCAAAATTAAAATATTGAGTTTTACAATTCAGTCAATGGGTTAATTTGCTATTTATATGTCTATTCATTTTTCAGGTTAACAGATACATTTGCTATTCAAAATCATTAGAAGAGATAGGAGAAAGTTATATAAGTAAGTATCTAATTTTATGGATTTTTCTAAAAAGTTTGAAAACATTCAGGTAAAACAACATGCATTTTAAATACAGAAATGGTTTAAATCATAAACATAGAAAGAATTGATAACTTTTGAAACTCTGGTTTCTATTGATCTTGATTCGTTATTGATTTTTATTTGTCTTAATCCGACCGCCCCTTATAAGTATTTTGGCGACGACATGCGCGTCTGGCATACTGAATCACAAGTCCTGTAATTTTTATGACTCTTTAGGGTAGAGATAAAAGAAGACTATTTAAGGTCACAGTCATATATTCCTTTTTAGCACGACGTTGTTCTATTAGAAACTTGTGTCCTTTATTTTGTTAATAAACGTGTTGTACGAGAATCTGTAATATTTGCTTATTATTTTTTATCTTTCTTTGAAAGTTATAAAACCATGTCAAAAGAAAATTTAGTGCATGAGATAGAAAAAGAAAAGTTGTACTCAAAGATATTCATTTACTCATCCTAGATTGTACTGTGGTTTCTATAAAACACTGATACAGCAAATTCATTTGTCAGGAATAGAAGTCACAGGTTTTGTGATGTACGCGTTACCACAAAAAACCCAAAAAGACAAGATTTGAAGTTTTACGTGTATAAGCTGGTGTTTTGTATAGTCGGTTGTCAGAGCTCATTAGAGCTCATTTACCGTTTATTCTGTATAGATGATAGATGTACATGTGACGAATTTGAATAAAATTTACCCTTAAACATGTCCTAAATTGCATTGTGACCAAAATGTCTTATTATAGTGGTTATAAGAAATGTTCAAAATGTGTTTTCAACAGTTGTATTTAATAGTCTTTTAACTTAAATTAAGTTGAATTGATTATTTTCATTGCAAGAGGAATTTTTTTTTTATTTCGTTTGAGTGTTTTCCTATTTAAATTTTTTGACTGAAAGTACATATTTTTTTCAGTCATTAAAAATTCATTATAAAAATATATAAAAAAATCATAAGAATAGAACAAAGAAAAATAAGTGAAGACTATTCTGATGGCCATTAAACAATATCTTGTGATTAATCGCACCTTTTAACCTTTCTAAGGTAGCTCTCTATTTGAATTGTTTAACATTTGGTATGTGGAGACCTTTTATGAGTTGCAGTTTAAGTTTTGCTTATTGTTGAAGGCCGTACGGTGACTTATAGTTGCAAACTACTACCACAATTGGTTTCTGGTGGAAAGTTGTGTCATTAGCAATCATAACACACCTTCTTATTTTTATAAGCATATTGTATTTGTTTCAATCAGACAAACTTAAAAAGAAAAAAGTCGTATGTAGTTTTAAGAAAAGATAGACAATTTGACTCAACTAGTAGATACATCGTTTCACTGAATATCTATACATACTTAGGTTTGAAGTTAAATAAGAATGTTGCTTTGAGAACCGTAGAAGAAAAAACAAATCCAAGAAGTAAGTATAAAGCGAAAAATGGATGGCATATTGAGGTGAGAAATAAAGTGCCTGAAATAATCTTAACAAAATATTTTAATTAAGTATGAACATTTACCGCCAAGGATGTATACTTTATTGTTGTATTTCTGTTACTGAGCTATTTGTATTTTCAGCAAAGTTGTTAACTGAGCCTGACCCAATCGTTAAACCACATCATGTCGACGCAGGTCTATGCTTAGAACCACTTCATGAAGATGCTTCCTGGTAAACATTCTAATCAATTTCCTTTCTTTCATTTTGAAATACACGGAGAAAAAAGATATTCATTCGTCAATGAGAGTACACAAAATAAAACAAAAACAAATGAAGATATAGTTAGATGCTTAGTTAGGTATAACGGTGTGTGTTTACTACATGTGATTTGTATAAGTCTCACTGAAAATTGTTAGACTACTCGCAACTTCTTGATAGATATTCTGTATTCATATGGTCGTTTCCTTCTACTTTTAATAACTGAATTTCTGTATTTTCGTAGTTTCCAGTTTCTTTACCTGGTACAGTTTCTGAAAAAAAGTGGCTTTCATTTTTAGTATGAACATCATTGAACCACAAACAAAATTCAAACTATAGATATAAGAAGATGTGGTATGAGTGGTAATATACATATATCAACGCATGTTGCATATTGCACGTATTTATTTTCTAGGGATTGTCAAAGAGGACTTGCATGCAAAGGTGATGCTATTGAGTTTAGTGTTACAGACAATTTCCAGTCTGTCGATAAACCTTTCTACGTTCTTCCAAAAGGTAACTTATACTCAGTGCCTTCAAATTGTAGACTAAAATTTTTATAATAAATAAGTTTATCTTTGTTCACATTTTCATTGGCATGATTTAATGGTAAACCTTATGCGCAATTCTTAATACGTGCAAGGTAAAAAAATCAAATTCTGGGAACTATCCTTAACAGATCACCTACAAGAAATTAATTAAGTCTCGTTGTTTATGATTATAGTTTCGTTCAAATATTTTCTGCTGTACTTTATTATACAATATTGTTCAGACATTTTTCCTGTAGTGACCAAGATCTGTTTTATAACCTTTTTAGAAAAGAAGAGACAAATCTAAACAAGTGCTTTGGACGCATGATTTTTATCCAGAATTATTTTCATATAGTAGTACTGTGACGATATGAATGCAGGTGGACTGTAACCGCCCTATAGGGTATTACTAGTGCAGTAGCCAGTGCTTTTGGTACTGACATAAGTAATAACATACTGTTCAAAAACTCCCCGTTCATTAATTATGGGAACTGCCTGAGGCAAAGTTAAACGGAGATGTATTAGGCCCGTTTTCATGTATTTTTTTGCCATTTTTCAAATGTTTAAGGTTGAGCTTTCTTGATGATAAACCGATAAACGATTCGGACACTTGTTATTTATTTACTGTTTTTATTTCATCTATTAAAAACTTCGGACAATAACGTCGTTGGAATGTTTTGAATATATCAACAAATAGGTCTCTGTTGCTAGACAACCATGTCAATATTACTGAAATTACAGAAGGATATACGTGTAAAACTTAATTGAAAATCTGAACATAATCACTGCTGTGTGAAATAGACGAGGTATGTTCCAAATTGGTTGACACTTTATATTCCCCGAAAAAAAATTTTAAGTCCAAAAGTAAGTTCATCAATTTCTTTAATAATTTCCTTTTTCATTTATTAATTATCTTTCTAATAAACATCTTTACCGGATACACATACTCCGTCTGAGACAAAAAGAAACAATGATGCAGTTTTGCTTTGTTCCCTGTTTTAAATACAAATATCTTAATTGCCTACTTTATGTTTAAGATATCTTAGACTAATAAGAAATAAATCAAAATATGGACATACACTGGCAATAATAAAACGTTGAAAGATAAGTGAAATATAAAAAAAGGGATGACCAAACTCATAAGTCGAAAACAAACTGACAATGTCATGGCAAAAAACGAAAAAGGACCAAAAGACAAACAATAGTATGCAAAGCACAACATAGAAAACTAAAGTCTGAGCAACACAAACCCCACTAAAAACTTGTGGTGATCTCAAGTGCTCCTGAATGGAAAAAAGATCCTGCTCCACATGTGGCATCCGACAATGTTGCTCATGTAAGTACAAACCTAGTAAAAATATATGTTGTTAAACTTGTTAAGGGGTGGTTAGCAATAAGGGGTTCAATTTTTTATGCTACTGTACACATGTAAGAGTGAAAATAAATATTAAACACGTGTTATGTATATTTAAATATGTATGAAACTTATACAAATGCATATAAGAATTAGGAGATGTGGTATGATTGCAAATGAAAAAAATATCCAAACACATATATATCGCTTTAAAATATCTAAATAAATTAAGGGGTGGTCCATTTTTTCTTTACATCACCGTAAGTTTAAACAATAAATATTAAACACGCTTTACGTTAATTTTAATATATATGAAACTTATGTAAATGCATATAAAAATAAGGAGATGTGGTATGATTACCAATTAGACAACTTTCCATTAGAGTTGAAATGAAGTGGACGTAACCAATTATAGGCCTTTAACAAGGAGAAACCCCCATTCGATATAGTCGGCAATAAAAGGCCCAGACATGAAAAATGTAAAACTATTCAAACGAGTAAAGCCAATATATTATTTTTTCATAAAATATGTTTAAGTTTGAAAATGAATTATTTGAAGATGTATCAGCAAAGATTGGTGGAAATGGAAAGAAATATTTCTTAATAGTTCAAGTGCATATCTACGAACCATTACTAGGTAAGAAAAAATCATAAGCTTTAATTAAGAAACAATTGAAATATAGAAATGTTTAGAAAAAATTAAAACAGAAGAATATATTTACATATCTCAAAAATGTAACACAAAAGACAAAAACAAGCTTTACATAAAATTCCTTATAAAAATCATCAGGGCTTTACATAAGAAAAGCTTCAAACTACGGTTGTTCTATGTAGGTCCTTAATGTGGGTTTGAACCTCCATAAAAGTTTCAGTATAAAATATATCAAAAGGGAAATCAAATACCATATGTTGTTGAATAAAAGAGAACATCATGGGCAAAAGAAAAAAACGATGAAAAGACAATCTACAAAACATTACACTTTAAGCCACAATTAAGCAATAAGAAACCTAACAAACAGCATGGATGTACTCCGACTCACCGGAACAGTCAGCAAACTAGCTAACTATATTGCTTCCCAAATGCAACGTACCGGATGAACGTTAGATACGAAACACATGGGCAATGATATACTACGTTCAAATAACGGTCAATATATGACCAACTTTGAAAAGTAAAAAAAAAATCAACTAAAATGGCACCCAAAAACCAGAATCAACAAATACGGAACAATGAAATTGTTAATTAAACGAATAAAGATGTTTCTTTATAGGACTACACTAAATCTTAAACACTAGAAAACCCTGACCAAAATTAAAGGTTTGCATAACCAGTAGTTTGAAATGAGAATTTGAATGATGTTAACATTATTAATCCTAATTTAAATCATTGTCTTTTTCATTACAGAACCTGCATCGCCGGCTAATATAACTTTAACATTCAAGAAAAAACCGTAAGTCAAAACATAATATTATAAGGTAATTGTAGCACAATTTTGATAAGAATTAACTTTAAATATCGATTCATTAAAAATCAACATATCAAATGCTAATTAATAAGTCTTGTGATATGTCATTACTTTTATATTTTGAATAGCATGATATGAAATATTGTTTGGTAATTAAAAACTATTATGTTTACTTTGGAATCGTCAGCTTCCCATGATTGCTGTTGACTCATTGTTTCTTTAACATGGTCTCTTTTTGAGTTTTAACATCATGTCCATAACCGGAAAAAAATATGTGGAATACCTAGAATAAAACAAATTATGTACGAAATGAACTAATCCACGTCATTTGCACATAAGTTGATAGTTGTCGTATTGGCAATCATACGTCTCATGATTTTTAAAATGATTTGAAATATACAACCACCTTTTTAGAATTAACGTTTATTGTACAAATAATTTTAGAACAAAGTATAATTACCAGAAATTCTTACTTGGCAATGGAGGTTTCGTTCCTGCAAATAAACCAAACGGTATGTGCAAGTTAAAAATGTTTCTTAAAAATACAGAATTACAAAAGAAATTAAATGGAAACAAGATCAAATAAAATAAATGTTTTAAATATCATTTTTTCAATTGCAGTTTGTAGTCCTTAAGTTAAAGTAGCAAATTTTGTTGAAGTCCCGACCAAAACATTTTTAAATACAAATTTATTAAGTGTTATTTTCCTTCAGTAACACCGGAGTCGATAATGCTTGTGTACTGCTAGTCCACAATGGCATCATCATGTCAGAAGTCGAATGCGTTGTACTGACATGATTTATAACACATTTTTCTTAAATATTCTATTTAAAAATTCGTAAGAAACTAAGGTAGCAACACCTCAGGGAAAGTGGACTTAAGATAAATTTGGCTTATCTTTGAGATCATATCATCTATTCAAGTACTCATACATTCTTGGTTTTCACATGCAGTTGGGAAAACGTTTTAGGTGAAAGTAATTCAAGAATAAGGCTTCGAATGCACTTATATTGTTAAGTGATATTTTCATTTTTTACAAGTACATCTATAATAATGTTAAATTTCAATATTCAAATGGTATGTAGCAGTCTGTTTAGTTAGAATTAATGCTATCACTACGTAAAACTATCATGTTTCACATAATGATGATCTGATATAAGATGCAATTATAGAAGTAGTACCTGTACACACATAGTGAAACGTCTGAATATGTCATAAGATCATTTTTTTATTTTAGGCTTCTTTACACATGTTGGTTGCGAATGGAAAAGACCTAAAGCGATTGCCTTTCACTATTATGTCCATACACATGTCCATGGTGAGTACTTTGAATAAACTCTAAAAACCGTTTTGTCTGTAGGACGAAGACAACCATAACATATGGTAAACTTTCTTTCACTCACGTACAAGAGAAGCGTCTATATTTTGCTATTGGACAAATTGGATCGTCATACATACTCCATGTAAAAATAATACAGTCTCAATAGATGTTTTTTAAAAAAAAGAGGCGGAAGATAACCAAGGGACATTTTCAAAGTCGAAGTGAAACTTACAACCATGGCAAAAAACCATAAAACAGTGAAAGTACAGATAAAATTCTTCAAATCACTACAAAAAAAAACTAAAAGTTGATTACATGAACTTCAACCAAAAAAAAAAATAATTAAAAAGGGGTGATCTCAAATGATCGGAAAGCAGAAGCAGAATCGGTTCCACATTCGGCGCCCGTCGTGTTGCTCAAGTTTGCTTTTCAAACCCCAAACAAAATTAGTTTCCATTACTTTCTATTTGATTCCACGAGTATTTTTAAAAGCATTGACAAACAAAGACTGCTACTATGTATTATTGATCACTATACAACTAAATCAATTGACTTACATTTCAGGTGTTTTCGCCGAGGGATTTCTTATTCGAAATAATACCTGGAAATACCTTGGTGGTCAGAAAACTAGAGAAAGACATCAGGTCTGATTTATGTAATTTTGAAGGAAATTCTATGCGTTCGTTATTGATCAGTCTTGTTTTGATCGATAAAGATACGTTTTATATGTGTACTGTCTAGTGTAATTGCCACGGCTAATTCATAGAAGAAAGTGATGATGTATTTAAATGAATTACAAACATGTTATCTCCCTAAAATGAGACAAAAAGTGAATTTTCTGGATCTTATGATACATATTCATGTATTTCAGTAAACATTTCAGATAAATTCAAATCTAGCGCATTCGCACAACCCTTTTCCAAACAACTTGTGACAGGGAGTAGATAATCACAACATATACTACTTATGAAAAAAGCCTTTTAAGGTTAAGTTGGGTAACATGATATTTCTCAGCATGTGTGAGTCAACTATTTACTTCCTATATTGTTTATCACTATACCCATGATAACAACGTAACACAAAACTGGCAGTATATAGATAGAGAATACATTTCTTTGCAAATTTAGAGACAAATAATTTAATCTGAAATGGTACACGTTTTTTGATGATCCTCAAGATTGTTACCATGTTGGGATTTTATACCTTCATGATTCATTTGGGTTTTTGGTGCTTTGTTTGTTTTGTTTTGTTTTGTTTTGTTACGTTTTTTTATTTCTAAATCCATGTACACATATTTGCATTTTTGTATACTTAACAATGTCTCCATTAATACTAAAAGAATATTTTTGCAACATGATATGTATTTTGTTTAATTTATCATAAAATATGAAATATCCTTTTTTTTTATTTTTAGGTTTGGTTTGACGTCGTAAACGGACCTGTAGAAATACAACCTGGTGATATTTTAGTAAGGTTTAAATACAACCTGGTGATATTTTAGTAAGGTTTAAATACAACCTGGTGATATTTTAGTAAGGTTTTTATTACCAACTTGATGATGAAGTTAACATATTCGCACTTATTTCATTTTAAAACAATCGTGGTGATATCTTTTAAAGAGTCGTTTCAGTTGTAAGATAGAAAAAAAGTAAAATCACAAAAATACTGACCTCCGAGGAAAACCCAAAAAGGAAAGTCCATAATCAAATGGCAAAATCAAAAGCTCAAACACATCAAACGAATGGATAACTTATTATATATAATTTAACTGCTGGAATAATGTACTTAATGGTCGATCTTTATAAAACAAATATCCTACCATATCAAACAAAAATTGTTTGCTTTTCATAGCCTCTATTTAAAACAAATACATCGCCTGACATTGAATCCCAGTTTATCTTAACATACAGATTGTTGAAAAATATAACCTACACACTAATTGTTCAGTTTATCGTCTTATGTGAAAAATTACAAGGTATGCATTAATTGTGATCAATGTCTTATATGCATGTATATCATAGAACAGGTGATTATTGCGCCAAATAAAAAAAAAAGATGATGTAAAAGTTTTAATTAAATCATTTGTTAGGTACTCTTAGTTCAAAACAAACCATACGTTAATTCAATCCATACGCAGACACTATTAATTGTCAAGGATACGCCATTCTACACAGGATATTCTGAAACTCTAAACGCACTATTTCAAACTTATACCGTTGACGTCATTTCAATAACTGTTAATATCTCTATTGTATTGTTTTATAAAAATTTGTTAAGACAATGTTAGCGTGTTCATCTCTTTTTTCAATCGTACAGATATTCAGTTATTCGAATACAATTTTCTGGGAAGTGATTGTAAAAAACTCTTTAGTTTTTACACAGTGTGTTACTTTTAAGTTTCTAAATATTGACGTATTTTTGTAATTTTTGTTGCAGGCTTCTCGTTGTTTGTTTATCAATAATGAAGAAAAAACTATTGATCTAAAGTAAGTAAATGAACGATGAAATAGATCAGAACAACACTAGTTATCAATTCATGGCATAAATTAAAAGATAATAATACATACTTTACACAACTCAAGCAAATGAACACTATTTTATTGTTGTTTGCATCTCTAGGTTTTAGGACCGCTAAAGCTCACAACCCTTCACTGTTAGTAGCATCATTTTGAGGACGATTCTTTACTAGATATCGATAAAACAACACATGAGCACTGAAACATACTGATGCACGATGATATCAACATATTACGATTGAATATTCAAATTCAAATTCTTTATTAACTTTGAGCCTTACGGCTCATTGGTGTATTCAAATACAATTATTATAAACAATAACTCATACTATACTGTACTCGTATGACCAGCAATCAAAATGTATATAACAGATTTATATATATAGTCATTTCGACAACTACAGCGACAAAATATTTGCTCGATGACTTGGCAAGAAATGATATTCTAACAAGTCAAACTATTCGGATGAACGGCAAACCAATTGTAAAAAGTGAAGTCAATCTATGTTTATCAGAACCTACAATAATGTCGGATCATTTTCACATTCTGATAACCAAAGTGTGAACTTAACTTAAACGTCTATTGAATTAAATGAAGTACTTTTGATATAAATACACAAATATATGCAAATTCAAATAGTTGTATATATGATGAACATTTAGGTATTTTGGTCGTATAGTTCTTCAACTGTTTCGGTTCTTATACATCCTCGGATTTCAAATATTCAGCTTTGAGCGTTCCTGATAAAGATAAATCCAGAAAAGCGCTTCGGACGCATGAAATTATTTAACGTGTTGTTTTCATTTTTTTCAACATAAATAGTTTCTTGAATGAATTAACTTGGGATTGTTTATATGAAAATATTAATAAAAGGAGATTTTGGAATGTTTTAAGGATAGAGACAGCAATCCAACAACAAATATCACCAAAAACCATCTAGAGGGCAACATAGAGTCGTTAACATTCAGTTGGCAATACAAGGTGTCAAGCTCTAAATTGTCTCGAGTTTTTTTTATCTATTCTTATAATATTAATCGTATTTGCTAATGATTTCTAAAATGTTACTACATATAGTTATGTTAAACATACAAAATTTGTTGCTTTATTATAAAATTAGTTTTCATCATTTCTATTATAGGACAGAAGATACGTGTATATTCCAGCTGAGTGTTGGATATGACATACAATACCAAGAGTATTTTGCACGTCCACCGGGATGTATTTCGACATCACCTGATTTTACCTTTTGCAGTAACGAAAAAACAGCTGCACTTTGTGATAGATAACTGGTTATTTTCATTGTTACTGTGATATGTGATTGAATTCAAATCATGTTTAAAAAGTATAAAAAGCACGTATTCAGTAAAGCTGCTATAGGAATTAAAAGACCTCCATTGGTTCGCCAAGCTAACATCACCTTTTAAAAAGTGGACTAATTGGTTGGACATCAACCTTTAGCGTCATATGTCATGGGAACATTTAGAAAATAGAGGAATCTCAATTTTTGCAGCCTAGTTTTGTTTCATTATTGAACAATTAAGCACTGAAACGTATATAAATGCCTTTTTATTTAATAAACATATTTTGATCAGCTTTTTAACGGTTGTATTTGGTTTTGTATAATAAAATATTTTGGCATCATTGAAAGGACATTAATTTTTAAAATGCGCATCTGGTGCAGTAATACGGTACCGTTAATGTTATTACTTCCACTTGGTAGATACCTCTTCTATTTGACTGTGAAGTTCCCCTAGTATCATTAGCCCAGTAGCCTTTACTTTGGTACTGACAAACAAATATAGACATTGCTTTATCTAAATTTGCTATCATTGAATTTCGAAATCATTTCAATTAAGGAATGTATCTGCCTAAAGCATAGTTCATATTCCTTGCAGGCCTTGGTTTTACTCTTGGTCCTTTTTTATTTTATCAGCTCTTCGACGTTAGAATTAAGTTTTCGATGTTCAAATATTTTGGCCTCGAGCATTACTGAACAATCATTAATTATCGAAATGCGCATCTGGTGCAGTAAATCAGTTCTGTTAATGTAATTGAAAGAAGGCTTGATACTTTTCAACACGAAAAACGAAAAACTTATGGAAACGACAATGAATTAAGCTTCGTGATTCCCAGCTGTCTGCTTTTTTTATATAAGTGGGTTTTTTTCTTTTTTTCTGTGTGTTTTGTAAACTGGTAAACTGTTTTGTTGTCTTTCCTTTATTTTTCGTTTTATTTTGTTTTGATTTTGTCGGTTTCTCGTCGAACTATAAGTTTTGATTCTCCTTTAGCATAACTTATCTCCCCTACAGTGTGTAAAACGATATTAACGTCACAAACAACAACGATATTAATGATATTATTATACCGTCATCTGAAGATATACAAAGGGGGAATTCAAACCTCATAAGTAAAGTAACTGAGAACGCCGTGACAAACAATATAAAAATAAGAAGATGTGTAATGATTGCCAATGAGACAACTCTCCACAAGAGACCAAATGACACAGAAATGAACAACTATAGGTTACTGTATGGCATTCAACAATAAGAAAACCCATACCACATAGTCAGCTATAAAGGCCCCAAAATGACAAATGTAAAACAATTCAAACGAGAAAACTAACGGCCTTATTTAAGTACAAAATAATGAACAAAAAACAAATACAAACGACAACCACTGAATTACAGGCTCCTGACTTTGGACAGGCAAACACCAAACACAGCGTAGAAGGATAAAGAAGGAGCAACACGAACCGCACAAGAAATCGGTGTATTTAGCAGATCCTGCTCCACATGTGACACTTGTCGTGTAAGGTACCATTTTAATGTTAGGAAAAACAGTTGAAATTAACCTTCATAATTGTAAGCCATAATCTTTTCTTGCATATTTACCAAATTAAGCTGACAGTTTGTGTCATATATGTGCATACCTTTGATTTTAAGTAGTCAAAATTATGAAATATAATTTCTTTTGTGTGTATCCATGACATCAATTTCCATATGTTTGCTATATAATATTGCAAATAGAATAGTGATGATGTCAAAAGTTTCCCCTAATATTTGGTATAAAAAAAGAGATAGAAGATTCAACTTTTATAAGTCGAAGACGACAAAAAGACAAACAGAAGAGCAAGTCCCCCAAAACACTACACATAACGATAATATGACTGAATAGCATGTATCCCAAAAAATGTTGATAACCTTAGGTGATCCAGAAACGTAACAAGATCATGCTCTACCAGTGGCACTTGTCATGATGTTCATTGTAAGTACGTACAGATTCAGTGATAAATCATATCCGGGTATGTCACAATCAAGCAAAACATGACGGGATAGTTAGTGAACGTTGTTACGACAATCAAGAATGGGAAGCTGATCCATCTCCACTAGTAACACTCATTATGTTGCTAATAGTAATTTCAAGTTCGGTGATAAGTCTTAATATGGACTGCCGATCAGAAAATCATGCCCCGAAACAGGCATAAACAAGTTCGATGGCTATTTTATTCTTAAGCGATCTAAATTTGTATTGCATAATAACTTTCTTATTTTGAAAAATTCACCAGGGCCAAGAGAGAGGTGTAAATACCAAAGGAATATTCAAACAAGTCAAAAACGAACTAACAATGCAATGACAAAAAATTAAAAATTGCCGAAAGACAAAAAATTGCCTACAAAAGAAAAAATAGAAAACTAAAGACTGCAGCCCACAAAAAACTGGGAGTTATCTCAATTGCTCTGAAAGGTAAACAGATCTTGCGTTACATGTTTTACCCGTCGTGTTGCTCGTGTAAGTACATCCAATGTGATAATTCTATTTCAGTAGGTCACATTCGGGCAAAAGAGGATGGAACTACGATAACGACAATTGGAATATATCCGTCGTAATATTTGAAACAGATATTCTATAACGATCAACCAATTTGTGATGCCGTCTGTAAAATCTTCGATGGAGTGACTTCAAGTTCACAACTTGGAAATATTGGTTTGATATCGTCCTTGTACATAAGTTTTATTATTAACTCACAAATTAGTTGACCGATACGATGCGACTGTGTCTTTATTCACGAACAACATATATTCGCGGTCTTAAATCTTTAATAACCCGAGAAATCGTCTGGTCTGTGTTACCGATGGTTTCTTTTTTTCTTTTTTCAGTTGTTACATTTGATCGAGTGTGAATTCACATGGCGGGCGAGGTATACATAGCAGGAAAATAAACTCATCAAAGATACAAGGATTACAATTTGGTATGCAAGACGCGCGTTTCGTTTACAAAAGACTCATCAGTGAAACAAGAATCAAAAGTGTTAAAAAGGCCAAATAAAGTGTGCGAAGGAAACGCTTACCCTAATCAGAAATTGGACAAGGATTTATATCAAATGGATGTTCCGGAACAAAACACTGATTTTATAGTAGAAGTAGCAAATATCACATTTGCAAAATGTTATTGCTGTTCTTCATCTCAAATGTTGTTATATAAACTAAAGTGCTCGAAACTAACAGTTTGATTGAGGCGACCTTTAGAAATTCTCTTCATGAAAAGTTCACCTAAGATGAATTTGGCTATTTTTTATGTTCAGTTTGGTCATAAAACTCCTAAAGTGATTAGGTCTTATACATCATTCGCTTTTAAAATGTTGGGTCTGAGCGTTACAGGTGAAGATGAATCCGGAAAAGCGCTTCGAACGCACGATAAACGGTTATTTTCATTTACTAGATACTGACTACAATGATAATTTTTGCGACTCTTTAAGGACACCATCGGAAGTATGCACATTATGTATTACTCTCGTCGAATAGAAAGATTTTGTAGTTATAAAGATTAAAAAAAAACAAAATTTAATTACAGTTGCAAAACTAGCTCATCAACAATTAGATAATTCCCGTTCTCTGCCATGGTATAAAAGAAGTGTGCTAACTGGGTTTTGTGGAGTCAATCCTCCTATTTATATCAGACTAATTACAGGTATAAAGTCTTGAAATGAACACTTTAACCCTACATCATGTTCATATGTGAGTCGCAAGTCCAGAATCGTTCAATTGGCTTTCTTCGATCATATCTTAAGGTTTATTTTCATTTTAGAGAATATGTGCGCACATCAAGATGATTGATAGTCCCATGTCAATCTTTACTCAACGTTTTTCATTCGTTTAAGATCGTACATGTACTTCAACACTTCTTTTGTTAAGCATTGGTTGTATACCACTGCTGGTGGGCTATCAGTCCCCGTGGATATAATCAGCTCAGTAGTCAGGTCTATGAAAGAACAGACCCTTCAAAAACTGTCCGCTAATTACTGTCTATATATATAGAAATTATAAAAAACTAAGGTTTCAACTCGCTTTAGCAAAACTGACCTCATATAGGTTTGTCTATTTGTATACATGTATGTCCTGTTTGGTTATATAACTCTGTTACTGTTTGGGTTCTTATAAATCCTTAGCTTTAAAATATTCGGATTTCCGGATGAAGGTAAATCCAGCAAAACGGTTCGGACGCATGAACTTTGTAAATTGATCTTTTCTTTATTGATTTTGTAGTTTTGTTGGTTTTTTTTTATAAACTATTGCCTACATCAACTTTTATCCATACTCAATATGTTGTTTTGTGCAATCCCATTAAGTATAAACTATAGCAATAAAATCAATAAGATAAGAAGTTAGATTTCCGTAGGGATATGTATTCAATTCGAAGACAACTTATACATGTTATAATAAAAATTAGTTTAATACAAATACAATAGAACAAAGGGTTTTAAATTTGAAAGTTGATTTTTTTTTAAAATGACGACATCATGCTTTTGTTGAACTTTATTTCATATATTACTCTGAATATTTTCAACTTGTTGTAGACACAATTCCGTCCTATTTTTTTATTGTAACATCACCGAATGTGACTATTGAATTTGTACTTGCAACGACTTACACATAAGAAGTCATCACTGGAGTAGGAAAAGTTTTCCATTTCAAATTAGCAGACTTCACTCTAGGTTTTCAGTAAAGCCCTTGTCGCTCACTTTTTAATTTTGTGTGATTTTTTTTTTTTTTTTTTTTTTTTTTTTTTTTTTTTTTTTTTTGTGTGTGTGTGTGTAGAGCAACTGATGAGCTTATACATTAAAATATAGTTAAAATAGATAACCAATCATATAATTAAGTCGCCACTTTCCATAAAAATGAAAATTGTAAATCATGGGAGTGCTTATGTACTGACCGTTGACTTGATGACAACCTTCAACACTTTCCATCTTCTAGAGGAGCTCCCCACATTATAATAGTGATGCAGCGTATGATATAAAATCAACATCATGCGTATCGCCCATCGCGTTATAGTGGACATAACCATAAGATGTTTCAATGTAGGGGAACACATGTTAACAAATAAGGATAACAATGCAATTACATGGGCTGATATTAGATACTTGAAATTCTAAAAATTAATACGTGCATTTATTATTGCGAACCCTTACCACTGGTAAACATGCGATTGCAAATATCTAATGAAGGGAAATATTTACTCTGATTATGAATGCTATTTTTATGATTCCAAATCTGATAATGTCGGATTTGTCACATTGATAAAAACATCACTGAATTAAAAGTACTGTAAAAGGCTTTAGTACTTTTGGGATACCAGCGTTCTACACGTTACTATTTAGCATGACGAATATATATATTTCAATTGTATGGGACCAACAATATGAATATAATGTGCAAAAACAACAAAATTTTGTAAAGAGGCAACAGATACAACAGGAATGATAACAAAATATTGTGTTGAAGAAAACCAGCAATATCATGGCAAAAAATATAATTGATACGATAAAGAACGGTTTACAAACACTTTATTGAGTCTAACGACTCAGCAAAACGAACCACCAACAACCCAGATGTTATATCAGTCGGAAGTTGAGGAAGGTAAACTTAACATTACAATGGATAATCCTATTAATTAAAACTTTTTAAAAATATCTTAAATAAAATAGCAATCAAGAAAAATTAAAAGTCTTAAGTTTTTAATGTTTATTTTGCATAGTGTCCACAAATTCCTGATGTTTCTTTGTGTTCGCAAAATGAGAATTCTGGTTGCTGCGTCATACACGCTCCTGATCGTTTAAAATCGTCTTCAGACTTAAATTCGTATCCAAAAAACATTGACACAGTACACATCTCTTTATCGTCGCCTTGCCTGAATAACAATAAAAACTCGAGTTAAAGAAGGAAAGAGTATCTTTCAAATAACTTTATTAGACTATTTTATAAAACAAGATGCTCAGGCATTCTAAAACTAGTATTAACGACATAATAACTGCTCTGACGAGACTAGTGCTAGACATCGTTAAATTAAATTTGAAGAATCCAATAACAAGGTTTATTTGTAAAAGATTGTTACAAATTTACAGTTTTATTTTAGATTATCAATTTTCATATTGTTAATTTTCAATTCCCGTGTTCCAATGAGTTTTATCATTAAATTGATAAGTAATTTCAGTGCATGTTTTACTTTTATCAGGGTTTCTTTGTTTCAAGGTTCAAAGCTTCTTTGTCGAGATCTTAGTAAATAATACGTGATCTCTTCTAAGGTTTCATAGACGCCATAATGGCTTGAATGACCGTAACATATTTATGTCACAGATGATAAGACACATTCTATTCTTTCTTTTTTCAGTGGTGTCGTAATGTTTTATTAATTAAAATAGGGAATGCAAATGGGGAATATGTCAAAGAGACAACAACCCGACCAAAGAGCAGACAACAGCCGAAGGCCACCAATGGGTCTTCAATGCAGCGAGAAAATCCCGCACCCGGAGGAGGTCCTTAGCTGGCCCCTAAATAAAATTGTGTGCTAGTTCAGTGAAAATGGTTTTTAACGACACGACCGGCGCAACTAATAGAGCTGGAACATCATTTAGTTCCAAAAACACTCAGTTTGTGCTGTGGTAGGTTAGTTCAATCATATACCATAACCCACTGTGTATTTATTATGGAAGACCAAATTCGAAAAGTCTTCCTTTGATAAAAAAAAAAAATCAAAGCGTCGAGTTAAGTTCGTTAGGTAACTTGTTAAGAACGCACTGTTATACTGTATAATTTTTCATTATGGAAGGCCGTACAATGCATATGACTGGGCATATCTTTTATATCCTTGTCCCGTAGTCTTTGTGTGGAAATATATCTCTTTGGAAATAGTAATTTAACACCTCATTCTGATATTCAGGATGTTCACTATTAATTCCTTAAATTTTAAGGAATCCTTCTACTTTTTCATAGGCTTTGAAAAAAATCGTTTATGTTAATCAATATTTTTATAAACAAACAAATCAATTTTGTTATTTCATCAGAAAGCATCTTTTCATATATAATTTAAGATATAATAGTCCAGCAGATATAAGAATCATTGACTTTGAATTTGGCGGTCATTAAGGAATTTTATTTAGACGACTCCCTTCGAAAAATGTGTGTACGCATCAAAACTAGCACTGTGCAAAGTTTCATTTTTTTACTATAAAGTAATCAATCATACCACTATGTAAGACTTATAGCTTCTTGACTATTGGCGGCCTTTTTTAATTTAGCGGTCATTATGGAATTATCTTTAAATGGCTCCATATCCAAAAATGTTTATAAGCATCCTAATTTACGGTGTGCAAAGTTTCATGCTTTTACCATAAAGTGATCAATTATGCCAAAATATTTGACTATAACCAATAAATTCTAGATTAGATACTTAACTATTATTACGTGACGCATTAGTTTTTTTCTGGTCAAATGAAATTCGAAAGGTTTAATAGTTGGACCTTCATTTACAATTACATTATAGGATTTCTTATATAAAAAGAATGTTGCGTCACTTCCACCCACGGATTTTCTAGCCGAGGAATCGATTATATGTACTGATGTTGTTCATCATATTAATTACGTGTTATAGTGTTCTTTTACTTGACTTTGTAAAATATTAACTTTTACTGTTAAGACCATTTTTGATAATATCCTTTTGGCGTAACTCAGTAGTTATACATCCCACAATTGTATTCATAATATTGCGCTATGATCATTTTTTGTATTCTTGTCTTTCAAGGTTTGTTTATGTGCTTTGTGTGTATGCCATTTTGTTTTTCTTTGTTGATATATTTGTTTGTTTTTATAGTGATTAAGGTTATAAAACAATGTTGACTGCTGTACCCCTATTTTTGTCATTTTTACCTATTATGTATGTTTGATTTGTTCACACATTGTTGTCAATATAATAAAATTTTATGAGACTGTCATACAAGTGAGAGGTTTAGCTAGCTATATACCAGGTTTAATCCCCAACTTTCTACATTAGAAAATGCCAGTACTAAGTCAAGAATATGGCTATTGTTTTCCATTCGTTTGATGTGTTTGAGCTTTTGATTTTGCCATTTGATAAAGGACTTTCCGTTTTGAATATTCCTTGGAGTTCAGTATTTTTGTCATTTTACTTTTTGTCTTACATGTATTTGATGAAAACTTTCGAAACATTTGGTCCTCAATCATCTTAAACTGCGAACTTTTTTTACTTTAACTTTATTTATTCGAGCGTTACTGATGAGTGCTTTGTAGACGAAACTCGCGTCTGGTGTACGATATTTTAATAGATATAAAAAGATGTGGTATGAGTGCCAATGAGACAACTCTCCATCCAAGTCAAAATTTATAAAAGTAAACCATTATAGGTCAAAGTACGGTCTTCAACACGGAGCCTTGTCTCACATGAAATGCAAGTTATAAAGGGTCCCAAAAATTACTAGTGTAAAACCATTCAAACGGGAAAACCTACGGTCTAATCCATATCATCTTTGATGATCTCAAATAAAAACTGCGCGGTCACCTCTACAAATACCATAGCTATTACAATGCACTATATATCTTACCCAAAACTGACTGGCTTGTCATTCTTGTTGATAAATAAACACCTTGCAGCCTACAAATAAAAGTACTACAAAATAAAATAAAATATTCATATTATTAATATTATGGTTAAGTAGCTACGAAATAGATTTTTAGATAAAATCAACCTGAAACAAATTGCTACTGAAATATTTAAAGATTCAACCCCCCTCCGGGAACCATTGATAATAAAGGTTGAAAATATACAAGGTGCAAATTCAGGCGGGAGCGCACACCGGATGCCCCCATTTTTTTTTTATCAAAGAAAGAAAATACAAAATAAAAGTAAAATCATAAATAGATTTGTTTCAAAATAAAATCCTCTAATTCCTTATTCTGATACTGCCTGTATGCCGTGGAGTTTCTCCCTCGGATTTTCATTTTTTCTACCTTTGACATAATGTCAATTTTTACCAGACGCGATAACATTTGGTTAGTTATAGATTGCAATAAACAATTAATTTCCCCATAGGCGACAATGATGGCTTTTTCGAAATACAGACTTTGCTAGAATTAAAGAAAAATTATTCGGACAGTATTATTTGGTCCCAAAAATATAGGTTCCCGTTGATTTTCTTAACGTAATTTGTACTTATCTCCCTTGCCTATCAAATTTGCACTTAACACACGTGTCTCTTCCTAGCGTAGAAAAGACATCTCAGTTCCGTCAGGGCTAAGAAAAATATATTATTTTGCCTTTGGTATAAAGCAGAGTGCACGAAGTCTCTAATAATAAAAAATAACGGGTACACATATCGACCAATCAGGATTAGCCATATTCTTAATTCGGAATACCATGTTACCTTCATAAAATGGCTGCGCCCATAATATTGAATGGTTGATTGTAACCTTTAGTGTAAGACATTATATATATATATATATATATGATAGTTTAGCACATGTAACTTCGGAGTTATGTATGTGGCAATACGCTATATTAATCAGAAACGTTAGAACTAACTTCTCTCTAGCCTGTAAATATTATTTAAGAATAAGTTCAAAGTCATTATTTAATGGAACATGTATTTATGACACAACGTACCGATCTAACAGTACTCGCGGTTACTGCTAACAGACAAAAGAAGATAGGCGAAATTCTCTTGCCATTATATCTCACATAGGGACAACATTTAAAAGTTTATGAAAACCTAGTTGATGTTAATATCAAAAGTCTTAATGATGCGTTAATGCGTTAATACGTGAAACGATGCTTGTTTGATAACTTTACAATTATTAGTGTTGTTATTTATGTTACAGGTAACCGATAGAAGAATAGAAACAAAAAGGAAAATGTGAACGCACTTTAACGATATTAAAGAAAGAGAATAAATTGACTTGAATAGTATTTTTTTTATATGTGATGCACTTTATTATAACCATTTTGCAATTTCAAAATGTGGTTGGAATGATTATAAAGCCACTTTCTTGTTCAGAATTACACGTGACTGAATACCTTAATTTTCATAAAATTTAAACTATTTTTGAAGATGCCCATGGTGTGAAATTAGCTTAGAAAATTTGCCAATAAAACTCTCTTACAAATAGGAACTTGAACTTTCTTACCAGGATATCGCCCTGTCGTATGTCAATTTCTCCTCAAGGTACTGGTACCAACACCTGTAAAATACATCCTGGTTAAAAAGTATGGGTGTAATAATTAGCAATATGTATGCATGAGAAAATGTCGTTTATTGAAGGATAGATTGACAAAACAAGCTGTAACAAAAAATAGACAATAAAACATTGTGCTTACGAACTGTTTAAAAGTTTGCAAATGATTTACATGTAAATAGTCTTACGAAAAAGAGTTTATTTATATCCGGAGTAACTTGTCATCATAGGATTGACGTGATTTCATTCCTTTTGATTTTTTACTTCTTATTTAGGAGTGTCTTATGGCCAAAATAAAGATATTTACTCTAAGCTTCTGAACGATTAGCAGAGGTAGCTTTGTACATTTACTTTATTGGTAATGAAATGTTTTATATGACTTGCAAATTTTCTTTTGATTTAACTTTATCCATGTTGATTTACGATACAAAAATAAAAATAGATAAATGTTTGTGTTACATGTAGCACAAACAAATATAAATAAAAAAAATACATAACCTTGGATTTTTCTTGTGTTAGCTGACTTGCCATTACGGTCCATGTCCCGTTTCGAATTCTATACATATCAGCCATATAGCCTGTATATTATATAGATGTATGATTAATACAATTTCTTATGACAATTATAATCTGTACTTCTGTTCGACTACAATAAAAACAATTTCGGTTATTTATCTTGGCCCATCATCTAGAAAAAAGCTTGCTTCAAGAACTTTGTGAAAACGTGAAGCTAAGAATACATTGTCCCCATCGTGAATTAAATCTCCAAAATAATTACAAAAAAATATGTTTGCACTCAATTATTTTTTTGGAAATCATAGGAAGCGTAACAATATAATCTAATTATTTTGATACAATCCTACCACGACGTTTATTACTTACCATTATGATGTGTTTGAACATGAACTCCAAATGCAACAACATCAGGCTTACTCCAACGACATGCCACTTCAGCAAAATAACCTATATGCTGAAAAATATGGGCTTTATAATTGAAAATCAACATATTCTAAACTGAAGAACGGGAGTAATTTTTGGTGAACGAGAATACAGAAGTAAGCTTTAAAATGGTTTAACTGTAGAGTCGATAATCGACTGCAACAATACATTCACGTCATCAAGGACCTTCAATTTGGAGAAGAACTTTCGAGACATCAATGAATACATATGTTCCACTAATTAGTACAGTCATAATGTTTTCAATCAATATTTTATCATCAGATAAATCAAAACAAGGATAAAGAATGCTGAATGCGCTTGGTTTTTTATTACAGGCTTGTTTAAAAGTAATGGGATTCAGAGTAGCAATTTAGAAAGAATCAATAGTGTTTGTAAAAAAGGCTATGTCTGGGCTATAATACACAATAGACCAAAGCGTCTAATTTCTAAACGTAAATCTGGCGTTAATTGAAAGTAGGTTTGCTTTGAACAAAAACGGAGATCTTTTAAATGAATTAACTCATAATGACCTAATCATAACACGGTACTAATGACACAAAAGGGAGTAAAAGCAGTATAATAATGCAAGAACAAAGGCGTCATTGAAATGAACAATGAAAATTTATAAGTGTTTTTTGCAAAATAAATAGAAACGTTCCAATTTTCAATCGACGTTAACCATTCGATCAAAAGAACAAAACATACCGTTCTCCTTGTTCCCAGGAACAATTCCATCAGTCAGCATTAGATAATTTTGGTAATTACATTTTGTTCTGCAATGGAAAAAATATATAGTAAAATCAAAATTAAAATCATTTACAAATCCGTCAAATATACGCATGTCATATAATCAAAAGTTCAGAAAGTTCACACGAGTTTTGACAAAGTTTTGGAAACCAACAGTTTTATCGGGTCTGTTTTGTGGCATATTTTGTTTTCTGAAAAAAATGTTTGAAAGACTTCTTTCTTTCTTTTCACTTCATAATTTTAAGAATGAGAAATAATCAAAATGAATTGTAGATGTTATCAGTTTCGGTATGATGTTCGTGAAAGCTTATTTGTTATTCAGATAGTTCAGTGTTTCTTTTATTTTTTAGCACTGGGTGAATACCGCTGCTATTTAACTGTCAGTACGTGAGGGTTTTATAAGCGCAGTAAAAAGTCGCACCTGCCTTCATAATAATGTCTTTTTTCTTACATGTATAATAAGAATCGGTAATCCGCTACCAGGCTGAAGCTAGCGAACAATAACTAGCGAACAATAAGCCAGCGAACAATAAGGCGATATATCTAAAAACCGAAAAAATGAATAAGACAGCAACGGCCGTCAAATGAAAAATATTTAAAAAGGCAGACATTCCGTCCAAATATTGCAATTTCAACTCTATCGTGAAATGGTATTTATCCCATCCATTGATAAAACAAGTCACATCTCTTTTTAGGCTAATATTCAATACCACAGTAAATCTGCATCTGTCAAGGGATTATTTGTAGATGTAAGACCACTAATGCACCCACTTCAATTTAGAACGTATGTAAAAGCAGTCCTTCCCTGTAAAATACAGCACCTTTAATGTCATTGTTTAATTGAACTAAAATACACATTTGCAGAAATGGGGGTTGGCCTATTCAATAGCTTTTAGAGAAAAATAATGAGAGGTGTCACGGGGTATGACTATATAGGTCTTGTAGAGGAGAAACAGGCGCATCTTTTGCGCAAGGTGTCGAAGGGCGCTATGTTCAAAAATCTGAAACTAGAGCTCAAAATTAAAAAAAAAAAATGTTAAAAACAGGGGGGTTGGCCTATTCAATGGCTTCTAGAGAAAAATAATGAGGGGTGTCACGGGGTATGACTATATAGGTCTTGTAGAAGAGAAACAGGCGCATCTTTTGTGCAAGGTATCGAAGGGCGCTATGTTCAAAAATCTGAAACTAGAGCTCAAAATTTAAAAAAAAATGTTAAAAACAGGGGGGTTGGCCTATTCCATGGCTTCTAGAGAAAAAATAATGAGTGGTGTCACGGGATATGACTATATAGGTCTTGTAGAGGAGAAACAGGCGCATGTTTTGCGCAAGGTATCGAAGGGCGCTATGTTCAAAACCTGAAACTAGAGCTCAAAATTAAAAAAAAAAATGTTAAAAACAGGGGGGTTGGGCTATTCCATGGCTTCTAGAGAAAAATAATGAGGGGTGTCACGGAGTATGATTATATAGGTCTTGTAGAGGAGAAACAGGCGCATCTTTTGCGCAAGGTATTGAAGGGCGCTTTGTTCAAAAATCTGAAACTAGAGCTCAAAATTAAAAAAAAAAATGTTAAAAACAGGGGGGTTGGCCTATTCAATGGCTTCTAGAGAAAAATAATGAGGGGTGTCACGGGGTATGACTATATAGGTCTTGTAGAGGAGAAACAGGCGCATCTTTTGTGCAAGGTATCGAAGGGCGCTATGTTCAAAAATCTGAAACTAGAGCTCAAAATTT